TTTCTTATTTTTACTTTTTAATTATAAAGTAAATACATGGTCATAATAACCTTTGAAACACGTATGAAAATTAATTCATTTAGCAATCTTTTTTCTTTCCGCCACTCCTGTGCTTTGTGAGATAGTTTATATATATATATAAAATATATATACATATCATACTGTTAAAAGTTTATTTACAAAAATAATGCATATTATTTTGTAACTTGCTTTTTAATTTTTCAATTACAGTTGACATTCAGTATTATATTAGTTTCAAGTTTATAGCATCATGGTTAGACATTTATATAACTTACAAAGTTATCCTCCTGATAAGTCTAGTACCCACCTGATACCAAACATAGTTATTACAATATTATTGACTATATTTCCTAGGCAAAACATATAAAATCTAATTATAATTTTTATATCCGTCAGGGTTCAACCAGAATATGCGATCATGAAGCCTGGCTAAGTATCTCCAAAATTGTAGGGCAGGCAGTCAGGAATGGCAGATCATGGGCAGTCTTAAACTCCTGGGCATAGGCCAAAGCTGTCATCTATAGGCAGGAAGATTATAAGAAGGATGGAACTCTACATTCAGAGGGAGACCTCAGCTTTGCTATTTTTTTAAGTGGCAAAAACAATTACTATGAGCTCTATGCTCTTAACAAACTTTAAGTGCATGATATAATAATGCAAACTATAGGATCAATGTTGTATAGCAAATCTCTAGAACTTATTTACATCTTGTAAAAATAGACCTTTATACCTATTGAACAGCAGCTCCCCATTTCTCCCCTCCCTGAATCCTCTGGGAATCACCATTCTACTCTGTGTATATATGAGTTTGACCTTATATTTATTTTAGATAAATATAGCAGAATCATGTTATATTTGTTGTCCTGTGACTGCCATATTTCATTTAGCATAATGTCCTCCAGATTCATTCATGTCGTCACATATGGCAGAATTTCCTTCCTCTTTAAGGGGCTGAGTAATAATCCATTGTATGTACATACTATATTTTTTTAATCCATTCATTCACTGATGGACAGTTTGTTTCTATGTCTTGGCTATTGGGACTAATGCTGCAATCAACATGAAAGTACATATATCTCTTGAAGATCTTGATTTCAATTATTTTGGATGTATACCCAGATGTGAGATTGCTTTTTATATGATAGTTACATTTTTTTAATTTTAAGAACCTCCATACTGTTTTCCATAGTGGCTGCACCATTTTAATTCTCAACAGTGTACTATGGTTCCAGTTTTTCCACATCCTTGCCAATACTTACTATCTTTTGTTTATTTGATAATAACTATCTAAACAAGAGTGAAGTGATATCTTCCTGTGGTTTAGATTTGTATTTCTCTGATGATTAGTGAAGTTGAGAATCTTTTTATATACTTCTTGGCTATTTATATGTCTTCTTTGAAGACATGTCTATGGAAGTCCTTTGCCCATTTTTTAAAATCAAGTTATTTGATGTTTGTTTGTTTGTTTTGCTATTTAGTGTTCCACATAAAAGTTCCACATAGAAGTTTCTTATATGTGGAAATGAACCCATTATCAGATATATGGTTTGCAAATATATTTTCTCCAATTCCATAGTTTGCCTATTTATTCTGTTGTTTCTTTTCTCTGCTATGCATAAGCATTTTAATTTGTTATAGTTCCACTTTTCTGCTTTGCTTCGTTGCCTTTGCTTTTGGTATCATATTCAAGAAATCATTACCAAAACCAATGTCAAGAAGCTGTTTTCCTGTGTTTTCATCTAGGAGTTTTACAGTTTCATGTAATACATTTAAGTCTTCAGTCCACTTTGAATTGATTTTCATGTATGGTGTAATATAGGAGGTTGGTTTCATTCTTTTGCATCTGGATATCCAGTTTTTCCCTAACCATTTGTTGAGAAAACTATCCTTTTCTAATTGTGTATTCTTGGCACGCTTGTTTGACTATATATGTGTGAGTTTTTTTCTGGGCTCTCTATCCAATTCTATTGGCCTATATGTCTTTCTTTATGCCAGTATCATACTGTTTTAATTACTGTAGCTTTGAATATATTTTGAAACAAGGTCTGATGCTTCCTGCTTTGTTCTCTCAAGATTGCTTTAGCTATTATGGGTCTTTGTGGTTCCACATGAATTTTAGGATTGTTTTTTCTGTTTCTGTAAAAATGTCATTGAAGTTTTGGAAAGATCGCATTGAATCTGTATATTGCTTTGGGCAGAATGGACATTTTAACAATATTAACTCTTCCACTACAAGAAAAGAAAACCTCAAGCTAATATCCTTGAAGAATATAATGGAAGAATTCTTAATAAAACAATAGCAAATAGAATTCAACAACACAAAAGCATCATACACCATAACCAAGTGGGATTTGTCCCTGGGATGCAAGAATGGTTCAACATGTGCAAATCAATTAGTGTGATACAGTGCATTAACAAAATGAAGGATAAAAATTACATGATCATCTCTATAGATGTATAAAAGCATTTGATAAAGCTCATCACCCTTTTGTGATAAAATCTCTCAACAAAGTAGGTATAGAAGAAATGTACCTGAACAAAATAAGGCCGTATATAAAAGGCTCATAGCTAACATCATACTCAAAGAGGAAAATCTGAAAGCTTTTTCTCTAAGATTGGGAACAAAATAAGGATGCTCACTTTCACCACTTCTACTCAACATACTAGTGGAAGCCCTCGCCAGAGCAATTACACAAAATGAATTAATCAATGGATGAATGAAGGCATCTAAATCAGAAAGGAATAAGTAAAATTATTCGTCTATAGATGATACCATCTTATATATAGAAACCCCCAAAGATGCCACAAAAAAGCCCTTACAACCAATAAATGAAGTTAGTAAATTTACAGGATACAAAATCAACACACAAAAGTGAGTTGTGTTTCTATACACTAAAAACAAACTATATGAAAAGGAAATTAGTAAGCAATCACATTTATAATCACATTAAAAAGAATAACAATGCTCAGGAATAAATTAACCAAGGAGATGAAAGACTTGTATACTGAAAACTATAAAACATTGCCAAAATAAATTAAGAAGACCCAAATAAATAGAAAGACATTTTGTGTTCGTGGGTTGGAATACTTAATACTGTTAAAATGTCCATTCTACCCAAAGCAATCTACAGATTTAATGCAAATCTATTAAAACTCCAGTGACATTTTTATAGAAATAGGAAAAACAATCCTAAAATTAATGTAGAACGACAAAAGACCCATAATAGCTAGAGATATCTAGGAGAAAAGAACAAAGCTGGAGGTATCACACTTCCTGATTCAAAATGTATAACAAAGCTACAGTCATTAAAACAGTATGGTACTACCATAATGGCAGATAAATAAACCAAGGGTTAGAGAGCCCAGAAATAAACCCACACGTATAGAGCCAACATATCTTTAAAAATTGTGCCAAGAATACACAATTAGGAAATGATGGTTTCTTCAACAAATGGTGCTGGGAAAACTGGATATCCATATGCAAAAGAATGAAAATGAACTCCTTTGGTATAACATATATGCAAACTTGAAATTGATTGAAGACTTAAATGTATGATCTGAAACTATGAACGTCCTAGGAGAAAACATAGGGTAAAGTCTTCTTGACATTGGTGCTTGCGATGAGTTTTTGAATATCATACCAAAAACATAGGCAACAGAGTAAAAATAGACAAGTGGGACTACATAAAACTAAAATATTTCTGCAGAGCACAGAAAATAATAATAATAATAATAAAAAAGTAACCTGTAGAATGGGAGAAAATATTTTGAACCACATATATGGTTAAGAGGTTAATTTCCAAAATATATAAGGAACTCCTATAATTTAATAGCAAAAAACAAATAATTAAAAATGGTGAAACCTTGCATAGACATTTCTGTTATTTCATTAATTTATTTTTGCCATTTGAATTTTTTCCCTCCTTCCGAGACTTTTGTTATCTCTATATACAGTTTCTCTTGTAATCTTTTTTGATTCATTATTTACTTTTCTTTGTATTTTTGTTTTTGGTTGTGAAATATTTTTCTCCTTTACACCATACTTTATTCAACCATTTTCCACCTAATAGTCCTTTAACTCATGTTCTCACTGTGAAATGCATCTTTGTAGTTAAGTCTTTGTCCAGGTTTCTGATTACTTTTTGCTTTTCAAGAATTTGGATATAATTTGCTAAAATTTCTCTTCCTGAAAAGTTGTACTAATTTATACATTTAACAAAGGTCTGTTTCTCTTAACAAAATCATGTGTTTTTGTGTTTATAGGCTTTGAAATTTCTGAAAACCAGAAGAGGCAGGCTGCAATGACCGTGAGAAAAGTTTCTAAACAAAAAGGTAAAGCTGCTTTACCTTTTACTAACACTCCCTCTCCCCAGCCCCACTCACTCTTTGTGAGACTAGAAAGCCATAGGCTATGTGCTTGCATATTAGGCTTATTTCTGTGCTGAAGTTCTCCTCGGATGATGAGGACTATCTGGATCCCAGGTGTCCCTGATGACAGATGGCTAATGGTCTTAAAGGTTTAAGGTTTAAGAGTGAATAGTGTAAAGTAATCTTGTTCAAAGATAGCTCATTTATTACAGGAGAAAAATAGAACCTCTGTTTCTTTCAATTTTTAAATGCGATAGAGAGAGAGAGAGAGAGAGAGAGAGAGAACTAAACATTACTAACAATTTAGAGACTGGTGGACAATAGTAAATCTATAGAATTTATTAATAAGTATAAATAGAGATATTTGCATAACTTTCTTTCATTGATTTGGAGGCATTTGCCAAATAAAGAATCCCTAATCAGAATGGAGAATGACAAACTTAACTAGGATAGAAGATTCAGATATTCATTCTCTCTCTCTGAACCAGAAACTAAGTACTTACAAAATAAAACTACCTTGAGAATCTATTTCAATATGAAATGAAGCTTTATCTTCTCATTTTTATAAACTAGACAAAATTAAAATGCTTAGTTGAACAAAGGGAAGGAGCTACCCTCTGTTTATTTGAGAGCCTATTCAGTACCAGTCATTTTATATAAGTTCTTTAATTTCATCTTTATGGTACCCTGAAAAATTAGACATTATTATCCTCATTTTCCAAATAAGGAAACTGAGGATCTTCTGAGTGAAACGATTGAACCTAAGTCACCTCGACTCTAAGTCCAATGCTTTTTCCTCTCCATGTCGAGGTTCTGCTGAATCTCCATTTTGGAAAAGAACAGTTCACTTTTTTCTCCCATCTCAATTATTGACAATTGCTTCTATTACTGACAGCCACTGTCATTGCTCCCAGGAGTAGGCAATCTTAATGAGACCTTACTTTCCCCAAGCCCTTCCTTGTGCTTTCTTGGTGGACTCTCTGGTTCAGAATGAGTCACCCTACAAAATGGTCAGATGCAAGTTGCCTGAAATTCCAGCAGTCACATAAAGCACCCTTAATTATTCCCAGCAATACTCCTTTTCATTGAAGATGCTGAGTGCCTATGAATATTTGATTTCCAAGTAAGTAGTGTATGCGGTTAGAGCCCCTCTGGCTAGACATAGCTATCCTTTAACAGCTTATTGCTTTTTGCTCTTGGGTGACCCTCATTGGCTCTTTTTCTCATCATGGAAATGTGATATCTTTTTAGATATGGAATTAAAGGTGATCATTCCTAATTTCTTGGGGGTGAAAATGTGAGAGATAGTGTTACAAAGCAATCTGGAGTTAATGACAGTAAAGATATGATCTGTATGTATAGAAGAGCCTTATGAGAGAAAGTGTTCCTTCTTTAGACAGAGATATGAGCAGAAAAGAGCCCCAGGCATGTGGATAGTCCTCAGGCTACAAAGGGGCTACTGTCCTAGCAGCCTGCCTTTGTCTACTGGAGACTCTCACCTCCTGAGCTTCTCTCACTCTGATTTTCTTCACTGTTCCCACTACGCCATGATGCGGTGGTGCCTTTCTACCTCATTCCAGGTTCCCTCAAGCTTATCTGATACTGGCTGGTCTTTTCACTGAGAACCCTTAAAGCTAGGGAAAATCCACAAAGCAAGCAACCAGGAAACAGTCTTGTTCACTTATACCAAGCCTTTGTGTCAGATTCGTTCCCTACCCTGTCTAGTCTCAAGGCTATCCCTTTCATGTCCTCTCTCATCTCCCAGTGTCTAAACACTGGTTCACCTGAGCAGCTTTCCACCTTTCACAGCAATCTTAGAGACTTCAAAGAATGTCATCTAGTTTCAAAACTCCCAGAATTTCTGTAAATCTCTCCCCATATTTCTATGTCTAGTCTTCAAGACTCTCCTAGTCTAGGACAGTGGTGACTGATACATTTTGATAATCAAGGATTCTACACATGTGGAAGTAGTTGTCGAACTTAGTAATTGAATAGTTATGTCATGTGCATGGGAAGAGCAGGAAGGGAGTTCTTTCAGATACCCATGAAAACTAGCTTCCTTAACTATTCCAATGACTCCTTCCTGAAAGTGATGAGGAGCATTGTTGTTAAGACTTCTCTAGTGCAATGTAATTGGATAGGTAATTATTCTGGTATCCCCTTCCAACCCCATCTGTAATCCCAGGAGACCTTACCAACTCAGTATACTGCTCTGGAGAAGGGGAAGCCTGGCTGGAAGAAAAGCAGAGGACAGAGCTTAGTTCCAAGGAAGGCCTTTACATTTTACATTTGCCTTTCACACTGCCTTAGTTCTAAGAATTGATTTATAACATCTTGGGAGTTGGTGGCTAATTCCTGATTCATTAAAGCGTTTAAGTCTGTCATCATGGAGCTCTCTAGGTCCACGAGCACAGTCCCCATCTCCAGAGGCTTTAGGGCCAGCTCAAAATCAAATAAGTACCCTAGAATAATTGAAATAATCTTGAAAAAGAAGAATAAAGATGGAGTAAGCAGTCTACCCTGATTTCAACACTAGTTATATAGCTACAGTAACCAAGATAGTGTGCTGTTTGCAGAGATATAGACATTAGATAAGTGGAACAAAATAGAGAACCCAGAAATAGACCTACACAAATATACACAACTGATTTTTGACAGAGATGCTAAAGCAATTCAATAGAAGAAGGATAACCTTTTCAACAAATGGTGCTGAAGCAATTGGACTTCCATTGACCATAAAGAACCTCAAATTAAATTCATACCCTATAAAATTAACTAAGAATGGATCAATTTAAATAGATTTAAATTTAAAGCTATAAAACTTTAAAATAATAGGAAAAAAAATTTAGTGTCTATGGCTAGGCAAAGAAGTTCTTAGACTTAACACCAAAACTTGAACCACAAATTAAAAATTTGATAAAATGGACCTCATCAAAATAGAAAATATTGCTCGCGAAAGACCATGTGATGACAACACAAGCTATAGATTAGAAAAATATTTGCAAACCACATCTCTGACAAAATACTAGTATGTAGAATATGTAAAGAACTCTCAAAACTCAACATTAAAATCTACCTATTCCAACAAGAAAACGACAAACGACAAACCGATATTTCACTGAAGAAGATATATATATGGCAGTTAAATACATGAAAAGATGTTCAACATCATCGATCATTGGAGATATACAAATTAAAATCACAATAAGATATTACTATATACCAATTAGAAAGGCTAAAATAAAAAATAGTAAAACACCAAATGCTGGCAAGGATGCAGAGAAATTGAGTCATTTATAGCTTGCTTGTGAGAATATAAAATGGTACAGCCACTTTGGGAAATAGTTGGGCAGTTTCTTAAGACAGGAGACATACAACTGTCATGTGACCCAGCAATTAACACTCCTAGACATTTATCTCAGAGAAACGAAACTTATTTTCATATAAAAATCTCGAAACAAATATTCATAGCAGGTTTGTTCATAATAGCCTAAACTGGAAGCAACCCACATGTCCTTCAGTGAGAGAGAATTAAGCAAACTATGGTACACTCATACCATATTACTCATCGGGAGACAGATATTGGTACATGCAACAACTTGGGTGAATCTTAAAGGAATTACATTATGATGAATGAGAAAATCCAATTGCCAAAGGGTACATATTACAGAAATCCATTCATATAATGTTTTGAAATGATATAATTCAGAAATGGGGAATAGATTAGTGGTTGCCAGGGGATAATGAGGGAATGGGGACAGGAGAGAAGTATGCGTGATTACAAGAGTAATGAGAATGATCTTTGTAATGATAGAAATGTTATATCTCTTGACTATGTCCTGTAAGAAGGATAATATCCTAGCTGTAATATTGTACTATACTTTCATAAAATGTTACCATTAGAGAAATTGAATAAAGGATACAGAGCATATCTCTATATTTCCTCTACAACTGCATATACATCTACAATGATCTCAAAATGAAAAGCTTGATTAAAAATTTTAAATGAGAACTCTTTAAACTCCCTCCCTAATATCTCCATATTGTTTGTTGGCATCCAATACCCTCATATTTCTGACACCACCTTAGAAAACTGGTTTTAGAGGATGTCATCAAAATGGCAGAAGATTTCTGCGGTCCTTCTCCTAAAGAACAGTGACTTTGACAATCACCCATAGATGAGTGCTTTTGTTCAAGTCCAGGAGTCCAGCAGAGAAGTTCCGGATAACCCTTGGAGAAAAAAAAAATCTATGATTGGATGCATAGAAAAAGCCAATCAGTAAAGACTAGAGGAGGTGACTGCTTCTTCAAATGCAAAGACAGCAATGCAAGACTGCAAGGAATGTAAAAAATCAAGGAAGTGTTACATCACTAAAGGAACACAGTTTTCCAGAAACTGATCCCAAAAGACATGGAGTTCTGTGATTTAGCCAATAAACACTTCAAAATAGTTGTTTTAAGGACGTTCAGTGAGCTACAAGAAAACAGAGACAATTCAACAACATCAAGAAAATAATACATGAAGAAAACAAGAAATTTAATAGAGTAGAAACTGTGAAAAAAGAACTGAACAGAAATTATAGAGCTGAAGAATGTAGCAAAAGAAATGAAAAAAAAGTGCAATAGAGAGCATTAGCAGAGGACATGATCAAGCAGAAATAAGAATCTGTGCAGTCAAAGACAGGTCATTTGAAATTGTCCAATCAGAGTAAAATAAAGAAAAAGAATGAAAAAGAGTAAAATAAACCTATACAAATTATGGGATAAAGAGAGAGAGAGAGAGAGAGAGAGAGAGAGAGAGAGCGAGCGAGAGAGAGAGAGAGAGAGAGAGAGCGCGAGCGAGAGAGACTGAGAGAGAAACAATCTATAACATGTTGGAGTCCCAGAAGTAGAAGCGGTTGGAGGGAAAGGGCAGAACTCATACTTAAAGAAATAATGACTGAAATGTTCCCAAATCTGGGTAG